ATCTATTCATTTCCGACGGCCTTTGGCCCACTCGTTCATATCCGACGACTTATGGCCCAATTATTCATGTCCGACGGCCTTTGGCCAAATCATTCATGTCCAATGGCTTATGGCCCAATCATTCATATCCGATGGCCTTTGGCCAAATCATTCATGTCCAACGGCCTTTGGCCCAATCATTCATATCTGACGGCCTTTGGCCCAATCATTCCTGTCCGACGGCCTTTGGCCCAATCATTCATATCTGATAGCCTTTGGCCCAATCATTCCTGTCCGACGGCCTTTGGCCCAATCATTCATGTCCGACGGCCTTTGGCCCAATTATTCATATCCAACGGCCTTTGGCCCAATCATTTGGTACAACCAATATTTGTCCATAATTTAAATTAACAGACTTATGAAGTTCAAGTAAAAATAAGCAATTGGACAAATAACATACTTCAAAATATCTTTACTAAGATATTACTCACAGTGATCTGCCGATGGATTTGCTCTCATGCTTGACCCTACACATTTCATGAACATAATGGATTACAAACGATTCAATCCGTTTTTAATTCATACATCCCTCTTAGGCTTCTTTCTTATTCTTTTAACTCATTTAAAATGCTTAATGTATGCCTAAGAATACTTAAAAATGAAAGAGAACAAAAAATGAAACACAAAACATCTTTACAAAATTTTTAAAACAGGGCTCCCCGCTCGAGTGTGGCTTCTGCCGCTCGAGCGGACCCGTTAGGTCTGCAAAATTACTGGTTGCCTCATTTTTACGCTCGAATGTGACTTCGGATGCTCGAGCTGAAAGTCAAACTACATGGCTTGGCGCTTGAGCGTGAAACTTCCCGCTCGAGCAGACATCAAAGTCTGCAAAAGTTCTGGGAACTAACAATTCACGCTCGAGCGGCGCCTTCCCCGCTCGAGCGGACATGCCAAATTCTGAAATTTCCAGAATTGTTCTTGATGTTCAAACTCAACATTCAAAGGCTCAAAACTCTTGTTTTGGACACAAAAACATGGAAATACATCATATAACATGAGAACATAGTGAATATGAGGCCAATTGTTCAAAATTATGGTTTAATTCTCAAATTAGTCAACATTTTCCTTGTATGCCCAAAACTCTTGCATTCAAACTTTATACAAGCCCCATATTTTCATCAATCATACAGGCATGTTAACTTTTGACTCCAATCTTGTTTCAAATGGCACAAATGATTCTTATAATCATGAAACTCATGAGAATTATGCATGCATGTGAGATTTGGTGCCCAATTCATCATGTTCAACATGCTCCACGCTTGAATGTGTAAAATCATGGCAATTCTATACATGCATGTGTATATTAACTTCAATTACACCAAATTCAACACAACTCATGTTCTTGGTTACCATTTAATCTTGAATTCACTAAATCACAAGCTCAAGCTCATGAATTTACTCACCTAGGAGCTTTAATCTTCGCAAATGGTAGTTAAACTTTGAGCTTAGCCTTTCAATCTCACAAACTTGAACCAAAATGCATAATTCCTCCTTCTCTCTCTCTTAAACCGGCCCTCTCTCTCTCTCTCTAGAGAAATCTCAGCCAAATGAGAGAAAGTGAGTTCAAAACAAAAACGTAAGGCTATATAGGCCTTTATATAAGATGGCCTAATCAAATTTGATTAGAGCTAAGCAATGGTGCTTAATTAATCGTTCTGAATCTAATTATTTTGTTCCAAATAAATTTTCAATTAAATTTCACCATAGGCTCTAAAAATTATGACAATCACAATGGCATAGTCAATTTCGGTTTCTGTGGCCGATAAGGCCTTCAATTTTCAATTCATAACAGTAAGTTTAACAGATTTTTCCTACGGTGAACAGATAGAAATTCAAAACCACATATGACATATCAATGGCACCCAAAATCACATTAAACACATAATGACAATCATAATTAAATCAATTAGCATAATACGGAATAGGGTTATCACAAAAATATTATTATTATTTGGGATAAATTACACAATTAGTTCTTATAGTTTTATATAGATTTCACTTTAATTTTCATAGTTATAATTTTATCAATTTTGTCCATAAACTTTCATTTTGGTTCCAATTTACTCCATCTATCATTATCCATTAATATTCAAATGGTACAAAAAAGAAAAAAAAGAAAAATGACAATTGTGAAATTAGAGAGACAAAATAAAATTCTGTTAAGATGGGAATTGCTAACATGCACATGACAATCGAAAATGTTAGTTTTCTATGCAAAACAACAATGACAAATGACAGAGGAATCATATTAAAATAGAAATGAAAATATAGTATTTAAATTGTTACCAAAATTAAAGTGAAATTTTGTTCATACTATAGATATCAATGATGTAATTTACCATTTTCTCTAGTCCTCTATTCCGTTTGGGCCGCAGGTCAACCACAGACCCTCGCTTTAATGATTTGATCTGGTAATTTTATTGGTGTACTGATCATTCATAAAAAATCAGATTGATAATCAAACAATCTGTTTGAAAATTATACCTATCATCTATTTTATTGAAGACAGACATGATAAAATCATGTTATTATAATTAAAAGATCAATTTAATTTTTTCGTGGATGGACCACACATTGAGGTTTAAAAGATCAACGGATCAAATCACATTTGTATTCATTTTAAAAATTTAAATCACAGTGTCATTTATTTTTCAAGATACAAATGTGAGCGGATAAAAGGGTTAACGATATCTGATTAACTTGATTTTTGACAGGTATGTTATACTCGATGTACTCCAAAATGTGAATGGTTTACATTATTAAAACAGATCCCAAAATAAGCTCATAAAGTTGCACACCAGTACCTGCTGTGCACCCAAATTCACCATTAAAATAGGACTCGGACCAAACTAGACCAATCCACATAGCACACTAGAGACAAACCAAACCACTAAATCAACTCTTAGTTGCACTCCATCAATTTATAATTACTGCCATCACTTGATATTTATTTATGAAATTATTCCTATATATCCTGATGTATTTGAATAATAGATTGCAATAATGAAAAATTATATATGAAAATGTAAATTAAACCGAAACGATCTATTGTAAGCACATCATTTTACAAAACACAAAAGACAGTAAAAACAAACCATCACCCAATCTGTTATCATTGTGAACTCAACAGGACAAAAAAATCACCTCCCACCATCCATTGGCAACATCGTCTGTTCCCTCACACTATCGTACCCAGTTGTTGTTGTGTTACTACTACTAGTAGTACAATCTAACTCAAACCCACTTAACTTCCCACCAAGCAAGTGCTCACTCTCTTCAGCATTCAAATCAATTTTAACCCATGGATGCTTCTTCATCTTTTTGTTGATCAACCCCTCCAATTCCATTGTTACTTACTTCATGGTAGGCCTTTCCTCTCCTTTTACTATTAAGCACCTCTTTGCAATATTGGCTACTTCTGTGAGCTCCTCAACAATTCCTTCAATTTCTATTTGTTCATCAATGACTTGGAACAACCGATCATTTTTCATACAGGAAAGAAAATACCTAGCTAGACTCCTCTCCTTCTCTGGCTTGTCAAATGACAACACCTTCTTTCCGGTGATTAGCTCCACAAGCACTACTCCAAAGCTGTAAACATCACTTTTTTCTGTTAATTGGTTTGTGAGCATGTATTCAGGATCCAAGTATCCAAGAGTTCCTTGGACCACTGTTGCTAATTGATCTTGGTCTAGTGGAACCAACCTTGATGCTCCAAAGTCCGACACTTTTGCAGTGTAGTTATCATCTAAGAGTATATTCGTAGACTTAACATCTCTATGAATAATAGGAACCAATGCTGCAGAGTGCAAATATGACAATACTCCAGCCGTTTCAGCAGCTATTCGCAACCGTTTTTCCCATGACATATTAGACGCCTTGATGCGGTTATGTATATGCTCAAAGAGAGTGCCATTGGTGATGAATTCATAGACGAGTAAAGGGACTTGAGTTTCCAAGCAACAACCTAAGAGTTTGACCACATTCCTATGATTGATCTGTGATAGCACGACCACCTCATTGATGAATTGCTCTATTTGACTTTGATTCATAATTTGCGATTTTTTGATGGCCACTGTTGTGTTATCTACTAGAATTCCTTTATAAACTGTTCCAAAACCTCCTCTACCAACAATTCTATTGTCATCATAGTTGTTGGTAGCCCGCTTGAGCTCTTCTAAAGTAAAGATTTTGATCACTCCTCTAGTCGGTCTCTCTAATCTAGAGAGTTGTTGTTTCAACATTAATCCACCATTCTGTTTGAAGAACTTTTCTTTAAGCTTCATGTGCTTTCTTTTGTTGAAAATCCAATACAGCCAAGAGCTACTCACCAAAACTGTCAAAGCACCAATGGCAACACCTGTATTTCAAACAAGTCATTTTAAGTAACAAAGACTATAAACATATCTTGCCAATATATTGATTTGAAACTAAGCATAGAAAGAAAATTATATGACACACGATATTAATATAAAAAATGTCATATAAACTTACAAATTTTACAATTTTTTTTTTATTACTAATAATGTAACATGCAATAATAAAACTTTAAAATCTGAAGCACACCCATCGAAATAATATGATATATATCATATTAGTGGGTTAGACAAATTTTTAAAATTTATTAATTTATATAGCATTACCCTATTAATAATTTTAAATATTCTTTTAAGTACTGGAGTATAAAAGGATGTGGATCCAATTGGGGATGTAGGTTACAAGTAAATTCATCCAAATTCATTAATTATGTGAATAAGATGTACTTTATTTCTTTTACTTTTGACATATATGGCATTACCAATCACAATCTGAAGCACAAGAACTCGACCAGCAATGCAACGTGTTCCATCCGTTCTGCCATCACCGTGATATCTCTTGGGGCAAGAGCACGTATAATCCCCAGGCGTGTTTAAGCATTTGCTTTCCTCTACACACTGGTTGAGATTTGGATCTACACACTCATCTATGTCTGCAAAACAATCAAAACAGAGGAGGGAGGGCTCAATAATGAAATTAAAACATCACAGAAGCAATATGTATAGAATCAAACGTAATTGAATCCGAACATGATGAATTTGATGAAGCTAGCTAAATGGATACTACTAGCCTTTGCAACCATCTGAGAGGTACGCGTTCCCTTTGTAACCATTGGAACACTTGCAGAGATACCCATGACCAATTTCTGCACTATAACAATCACTATGATCTCCACATGCATAACTAGTCAAATTTCTCTTAGCTTCATCGCATGTCTCATTATCCCATATTCCCCAATCAAGCACCAACGGCACCATGTCTTCTGTAAAATTTTGGAGGTAAGTTTTGGAGAAATTAAACGCAGCTTCTTTGACAACAAAGGCATAGCTGCAGGGATTGAAGTCCGATACATTTGTATGATTGTTGAAGCTATGTGCATTGATTTCGATATGGCTGAGTCGTTTTGGCATGGAGGTCTGACAGCAACCAATTCCAGAGCAAGATCCATCATCAGGAACGTAGGAGATGTTCATACAACTTGACACACACCCAGTTGCAAAAGCGAAACTGTTGTTTTCAAAAATTTGGAGATACCCATATGTGTCACAACCAATAGTAGTGAACTTGTTCTTCGTACTAATGGAGAAATTGGCCGTGTTGAGCAATGCATAAATGTTGCTCTGTAATGTACCTAACAGGTCGTAACAATTACGAGATATGTAATTCATGACGCCTAACTCACCCTCGTCGAGCGATATATTTGTAACATGGAGATTGCTATGCCATAAATATGGCTGGGAATCGCTGCAATTAATGAAGAAATCTTCGCCGAGATAACAATTCTCTTTCACGCCGAATGGGTATGGGATGTTTAAATTCCCGCAACGGTTCATGCAGCCATGATTCTTCAAATCTGCTTCTGTTGGTGGTGCTGCTTTTGTTGCTGCTGATAATGAAAATATCACCACCACTACTACTTGTACTAGTACTAGAATCACGATGATGGGTTGTAGTTGCAATTGCATTCCTTGCGAGGAAGCCATGTCTAGCATGCCTCTTGGAAAAAAGCTTTTCTGTTTTCAAAATTCATATAATTGTTTGAGAAACATTTCTAGGCAATCATGAAGAAAAAGTATTCCGAGTCAATTAAAGTAACAATAATGCTAGGTATCATGAAAATAATGTCATGAAAAGTTTTCATGAAGATTCTCCACCTTTGGATTAGATTATAGTGTTTGTAGTGTTTTATTGTATGTTATGCATTCACCATTGGATTAGTTTCATGAAGTTTTTCATGATATTTATTTCATGATACGTAGCATTACCCTTAAAGTAAATCAGTGCAAAATAGACAACATAACTTATTGGAGTGATTTGCAACTAGTCTAACAACTGTATGGATGGTATTCACTGTAATAAAAAATTAAAAAATAAAATTAACTTTGCCCGGTTGTATAAATTTAGTCTTGTAGTCCCTATTGTATTAATTCTTCCCTATAATATTTTAGGACAACTTACGTATAGGTCCTATAGGTAAACTTGTTATCTAATAGATCTTATGATAATTAATTACATTTTCATTAAACACCATCAAAAAGTCACTAATCATAAGTTTTAGCAACAATTTAAAAAAATCATCACAAAAAGAAGTAATTAATTTTCATCTTTCAACGACAGTTTGAAAAATTTCTCACAGAAAAAAGTCACTAATTGTAAGTTTTAGCGACAATTTATAAAAACTCTTGACAAAAAAAGTCACTAATTGTCAATTTTTAGCGAAGTGTAAAAAAATTGTCACGAAATTTTATTTTTAACGAAAATTTACTAGTACCTATTTTCAATAGGATTTTATGGGAATTAAGTCAAAACTATTAGGATATATTGGTAATTTACCCAACATTTTATATTGTGTTGATTTCAGTTAGTTGATAAGCATTCGCTGATAAATTAGAAAAAAAAAATACATTTAAATTTGAAATCAATTTCTCAATGACTTTTAAAAGAGTTTATATATGTCGATTAATTTCAGTCAAATTTCTAAAAAGATCGTATTAATTGGATTAAATTGACACTATATAAAATATTTAAAGGTAAAATTCTCACAGTCTCTGTTTGGTTTAGTTTTCATAATTTGTTTGTGAAATTGTTTTCATAAAAATTACATACTAGTTTTCACAAGAACAAACACAAAACAATTATTTTTAAATTTTTTAAATTATTTTCATCCAAAAAAGGAGAAAATCATATGAAAATAATAAGTTTTGTAAAAACAATAAAGTAAATAAAATTAAAAAAATATTCTCAAAACTTAACTGAAAAGAACTTGTTCATGATACCAAACGCTAACCAAAGCATACAACTTCCAAAAGGCAAATCATGCTCTAATGATAGAACAAAAAGTTTTCAGAAACCAAAAAACAATGAAAATACTAAAGAGATATCATGCAATACAACCAAAACCAAATCAAAATCAAACCCACGAAGATGTCACGCAAATGGGATGCAAACACCTGAATTGGATTAATTGAATAGCATAGATGCCTACCTCAGAAAGACGAAAAAAAACAAGAAGCAATTTTCTTGGCTTGGAGCAGTCCCCTCCCCACTTTTACTTTTGTTGGTTGTAGAGAGCTTACTTTTGAAACAGTTATATAAATATGTATATATATATGGATTTACTGCTTGGTTTTGCAAGACTACTCTGTTTGTTCAGTACCTTTTCTTGTATTATATATAGGGTAAATTATACTTTGTATCCTTACACTTTGCATTATCAACAATGATTCATCCTACTAAAAACATCACCACTAATAGCACTAATGCATTAAAAAAGTAAAAAAAAAAAAAAAAAATACAACTCCAAGAACAAAACATCACATCATTAATGACAGGATCCACTGCCACCTAATTAGTGGGAGCACTAATTAGTGCTCCCAAGCATTTTTCTTGCACAATATCTCACTTTAGTCTCTACATATGAAATTATAACAGTCAACCTCCTATACTTCTAGTCAAATCCCATTTTGATCCCTGCACATAAAATCGTGATAGTCAATCCCTTCACTTTTGCTCAAATCTCACTTTAGTCCCTACATAACTATCAATATCTCTCTTTTGTTACTTCATTTTTAAATCTTTAACAGAATTCAATCAAGTGGAAAAATGTGACTACGAAATAAGAGTAAGAGAGGAAAATCATTCATGTTTCTTACCAATACACCTTGTCCTACGTGATAAGCACGTGAGAGTTATATAATACAACACACACACATATATATATATATATATATATGTCGTACAAAGAGACAAGAAAATAGAGTTTCTGAAATATTAAAAAAAAAAAAAATACACCAAATAAATCAAAGAGAAATAAAGATGAATAGATAGAAAATTGTTTTACCGTGAAAAACAGAGTTTTGTGATTTTAATTTATACAAAACGCTAGTTCATCTTCTTAATCATTCACAATCTGCATTTTATTTTAGCCTAATATAGTCATAATTTGATGTAAATTTTGGGACAAAGTGTGTATTGGTGGAAAATGTAAATAATTTTTCTCTCTTACCCTCATGTCGTAATCACATGCTTCTCATATAATTAGATTCTGTTAAAAATTTAAACAATTGATTAACAGGAAAGGGATATTGACACTTGTGTAATGACCAAATTGAGATTTGACAAAAAATTCAGGGATTGACTGTTACAATTTCATATGTATAGACCAAAATGAAATTGGATCAAAATGAAATTTGACCAGAAATGTACGGGATTAACTATCATAATTTTAAATGTAATGATCAAAATGAGATTTAATACAATGTGCAGGTGGAAAGACGGTGTGTTGGGAATGGACTAAACCTTGGATTTAAATTCCAAATAAGAATAATGAGTATAAAAATAGGATGATGGGGGTAAACCTGCTTACCCAGAATAAAGATATACACGAGATCATTGACTTGGTTTAGACATTGAATTCGTCCATTCACCAAATTGACATTTTATTATATTTTTTTTTAAGTTGATTTATTTATTTATTTATTTTGGATCGTTATCATAGGGAGTGTATCAAAGCAGAATTGACGAAGTCAGGATTGTGATTATTTTCATTCCAAAGATGTAATAGAGGATCTCTATTACATTATTTAAGGATTTGTAATGATTCTTTCTAAATTTAAAATATTAATAAATTCTTATAATTATTTCACAACCCTTAAATGATGTAATGGATATCTTCCATTACAATTATAAAATGGAGAGAATCTTAGTCCTGAAGTTATCATAATTAGCTCAATCAGTTAATACGTTGTTGTTGCACCAGTAAAGTGAAAGAATGGGTCACTCAATCGATCCTATGTGTGTGTATATATGTATAGATTTTTTAACTTCATACGTTTCATACTGAATAACCTAATCAAAACCATAGACGTACTGCCGAAACCGTGCCGGCTTATGAACTGTTTTTAATAACTGTAGATCATAATATTTTCTAAGTATTTATTTGAAAGTTTATTGAATTTTTAGATTTGACAATAATAAATTTGTCAAAGAAACAACATTTCCTCTGAACATCTTCATATCAAGATTGTTCTAACATAATTTCATTTTTTGATACGAAATTCGAACATAATTTTATGTTGCTTAGCAGTTAGGACTTGATACAGTAAATGACATAATCATTTTGATTTTGTTTGAGTGATTTTAATGATATAAATGCAAGAACTTAAGTACAGTTAAAAAGTTTAAGTTACATTAGAGTCAATGAAAAAAAAATCATATAAATTTTAACAAAGATTTAATAAACTTAATTTAATTTTGTAATAAATTTTTAATTCAATCAAACAAAATGTCTAAATAGTTTTTAATTTTAATTTTAATTTTAATATTTATAAATAGTTTTTGTTGTATATGAATCAGATAATTTAAGTCAGGAAGCGCAACTTGATCTTCCTGGTATGCATACACCATGAAATTCATAACAAAACAATAAATTTACACAGATTACATGACCCAATTCCAACAAAGTACATTGTCATAGGCATTTCATCAAACACTTAAAGGGCACAACACAATTAACTAATAAGTTCATAAACAAGAATCCTACAACAACAATAATTCTCTTGTATGCATTTTAACAAACACTAATTAGCATGCAAGGATTATAGACCCATAATGTTCAATCAGACAAACTCAAGAAGTAGCCCAAAATTTGTTATAGATCAAACTTTTCAAGAAGTACATCCTAAAAATTGTTACAGAAATCATTTACAGCATCATAGGAAAAAATAAAAATCATACAACACAAATACAACATCATTGTTTGAAAAAAAATGTATACATATATAGAGAAGAAAAAATAAGAGATTAGGGTTTGTGATGAGAGATACCTCTGTATCTCTGCCTTTAGGAAGTGAGATGAGAGTAAGGGACAAAAGGACAGTGCCGGAATGCAAGGGAAACACTGAATAGAGGGTGGTGGCTCTAACGTAGAGAGAGAGAGAGAGCTTGACAATCATGAAATGAGAAAAAATGGGGAGAATGATGTTGTTTTTTCTGGAAGGGTAAATAGGTCATTTCCCCCCACTGATTTGTAAGATTGTTTTATAGTCCTCATTGGGCAGTAATTCCCCCATTTTTTTATCTTTAAAAAGAAAGTTTTTAAAAAAAAATTTACTGAAGAATATAGGAAAAATTACAATCCAGTTGATATTTTTTTTAAAATAATTACAAATGAGTGATAAATTTTTATAAATATTAATAATTAAGATAAATTTTTATAAATATTAATAATTAAAATCATAAACTTTTTTATGATTTTGTAATATATTTTACTCGTCACTGTTAAATTCACTTTTTGGTGTGGTCCATTAGCCTCTATATTTTTTACATGTTTTTATGTAATTTGGACTCCTCAAATTTGATAAGCCAATATATTAGATAAAGTTTAGAAATTAGAATTTTAAATATGGAATAATTATTCTTATACGCTAAGAAGGAATCTTGATAGATAGAGATTCTTCTGATATTGGCATTCTTCTCTCCTCTATAAAAGGATGGGCCTTTTAATATAAATATTATTTTTCCATCAGTTAAAGTATTCTGGTCATCCTACTTAAAGAGAGATAGAGAAAAGAAGGTAAGCCGTTCAAGGGTATTTTTTCAACTTCTCTAGCTTAGGTAAGTTCGCTTTATTCTTGAGATGTATGAAATTTAAGATCTTATCCACCCAAAAAGAATGCAAGATCCTGTTAAGTTTCATTTTTGCATTATTGTTATGGTTACATGTATATTAATTTTTTGCATATGTACGTTTATTTTTGGTTGTACGTTTAATAATGCTATTAGAAAAGATGAAGTCTGAATTTATTTGATCTAATCAAACGTGAAATAACTATCTACTGGTCAATTTTTGGTTTCATTTATAAAATTAAAATATTTGTAATGACTCTTTTGCAGTTAATATGAATTGTTGTTCGGCTATGTTTAGCCTTGTTTGAGAAGTGGATTTATAGTTTTTCTTTTTAGGCTAAAATTTATAAAAAGATAAAATAAGTTAAAATAGTTAATAAGACAAAATGTCACATCAAATTCATAATCATTTCACTTTTCTATTACAAACATTATATCCAACTATAAAAAAAATTTAACCGTCTTCTCAATCACAAAATTTTAGCCTACAAAAATAGGCAACTTCCCAACTGAGGCCTTTGTTTATGTAATGTTTGCTATTCCTTGGTTACTTGTAAAGGAGTTTTTCAAATATTTTAAACTATTTCTCATCCTATACATCACCACTCGTTGGTATTCGAATATTTTGTTAAATAATAATAATAATTCATGAGATTTCAATTTCACCGTGAATGTGGCTTGTACTTATTACGTAAGAAGCAGGGAGGTGCAGAACAATTTAATTTATATTCTAATGGTGTACCTCTGTTGCGTGTTCGAGAATGAAATATAAGGTGACTTTAAGATATCCACAAATTATCTACCGACTTTATCTCATGACAGCGTATGTGCATTTAATAATTGTTAGAGATTCTATTTCCTATAAATTACTTTATTAATCATTTGTGTAGTGAATTTTAAAGATTCAATTTATTGTAATAATAAATTATATATCACTATACTTATTGTGATGGAATGTTAAGAGACTTAGGCCTCGTTTGGGAACAGATTATTTTAGTAACTTTTTGACTTTTTGGTTAAAATGTAAAGAAAAAAAAACTTAGTTGTATGGGATAAATTTTTTGACTCTTTACGAAAATATGTGAAATAAAATAAGATAAATAATGAGAAATGGGGTAAAATGACCGAAATGGCCTTATAGCATGTCAGCCTACCTGTGGATGTGACAGTCACCTCTGCAAAGTGTTGGATGTGAATTTGCTTTCTTTGGACAACGCAATAGGAGGGTTGTGTGCTGTAATGAGGAACGGTCAAACTTGTACACGTGTCAAATGAGGAACGGTCAAACTTTTATTTCTTTTACAAAAGTGTACACGTGTCACGTAATATTATGTAAATAATATTTACGTGACATATACATAACCATATGTATATGGGATATGGAGTGTCCTTTGTGTATTGTAATAATTTGTTAGGAAACATTACATTTTACGTTAAAAATAAAAAAATGTTTAATTTTTTTTTTAAAAATCCAACAAATTATGGGAGTGTTTGGGAACT